ATCTCCTTGACATCATATTCCACTCCACTATCCACCTTTTGCTTACAGAATTTTATTCTATTGAAATATATTTTTTAGTTTTCAAATTCTTTTAAGTGGCTACATTACAGGAGAACCAGGAAAAATCATTATAGAGAAACAGAATGAATAAAGACAGAGTGGAGCAAGAAAGATGGAGGGAGGAAGAAGTAGATCACTGAGTGAGCAAGTGATGTTTTAAAACTATAATCTTGCAGTATCTTCCTTTTCCTTTGAAGTATTTGCATGGTTACTATGCAAACTTCTCCTAATCTTTTCCTAGGAAAATCTTCAATGAAGTCTCCACTGATCAAAATATTTTATGCAACAAAACACATGCCTAGGTTCAAATTTCATTAAAAAATTTACCTGTCTGAATGAGTGTTTTAAAAATCTTTATCAATTGCTTGACCATCACAATTTTATTAGGAGAATAATAACGATGATGATGATAATAGTAGCTAACAGAAGACGTACTCAATTCCAAGCCGTGATCTAAGGACTAAATATTTCCACGTCTACTACCATGCTTCGCTAGTGGCTCCAATGGTAAAGATTCCACCTGCAGTGCAAGAGATGCGATTTCAACCCCTGAGTCAGGAAGGTCCCCTGGAGAAGGGAATGGCTATTCACTCCAGTATTCTTGCCTGGAGAATCCCATAGACAGAGGAGCCAGGCAGGCTACAGTCCATGGGGTTGCAGAGCCAGAAACAACTGAGTGACTAAGACTTTCACTTTTGCAGAACTTCTATCAGTTCTAACAGACAGTGACCACCAAGTCTGGAAACACCAATGATACATAATAGATGATGACCAGTTTATAATACATAAAAATGTAATATTTACCTTTCAATCTTTATGATCACATTATTAAAATATATATAAAATAGGTACTGTTTATCCCAGGTTTACCTATGTGGAAACTGAGGCACAAGTAGATTAATTAACTTAACCAAGTGATTAAAAAAACTATTTGATTCAGGATTTGAACCAGAGAGTTTGCCTCTAGAGTTTATACTTTAGATCAGAACATAATAAATTCATTACAAAATTTGATACATAATTTTTAAACACAAAGTAAAATTTTATTATAAATATATCAAATGAGATGAAGAAAGTAGAGAGGCCATGTGTACTTTTGAAAAAGGTTTGGCAAATATCAGTGTATCCATTGTTTCAGTACTCATTTCTATGGCCTCGGAGATTGTTATGTCCTGCAGAAATGCTTTGTATAATATTAATAGTGAGACTCAGAAGGGTGAAATAGTATATGTGTGTATAAAGAAGTAAAAGGAAAACTATGAAAGAAAAAGTGAAAAGGATGACTGGCTGGCAACTTACACCTTAGGAATTTTGGATCTGGAAATCGATTTCTGTACAAGCATTTTCTGCCTACTCCTACTAACCCAGTTTGTAGATCATTGATCTAAAGTGTAAGACATATGAAACAAAAAAATTCAATCTTACCAAAAATAAAAATGCATTGCATTTGAAAACTATTAGGCTGAGCACTGTGGTCAGAAGAATGAATAAAACAAATTATAATTTAATGTAAAGCAAATGTGAAAAGGAATAAACAGGTAAGTGTATGAAAGCTTATAGTATCTACACTACATAAAGGGCTTCCCAGCTGGGGCTAGTGGTAAAGAACCCAGCTGCCAATTCAGGAGACTTTAGAGTTGTGGGCTCAATTCCTGGGTAAGGAAATTTCCCTGGAAGAGGACATGGCAACCCACTCCATTATTCTTGCCTGGAGAATCCCATGGACAGAGGAGCCTGGTGGGCTACAGCCCATGGGGTCACAAAGTGTCAAACACGGTTGAAGCGACGAAGCATGCCTGCACACTACATATAACACGTACTGTGCTGGCCTTAGTCGCTCAGTGGTTTCAGACTCTGTGACTCTTTCGGTTGCCATGACCTCCTCCAGGCGATATTCCTCATCCAAGGACGGAATTTGCTTCTTCTCCTGTGTCTCCGCATTGCAGGCAGATTCTTTGTCCACTGAGCCATTGGGTAAGTCTGCATATAACTTGGCTCCCATTAAACTTCAATGACAACTTACTTTTACCTATCAAATATTAAATAATTGTCATTATGAATAGATTGTTATCATAACTCATTACATAATTACCATTAACACTGATACCAGAATTTTCTTACTGAAGGAACTATTTTTGTATGTAAAATACATCAAAAATAACATATGATAGAGCAGATACATAACAACAAATGTTTGCAGTTGCTTAAATATAAAAGGAAAAATCTCTCCATGAATCAGTGTTAGAAAGTGTATTATTTTCACTCCTATAAAGAAAGCAGGTAAATGACTGATAAAGAGGAAGAGAGGCTCCAGAAAGATGGAGAGAGGCTGGGAACAGATAAGATATTGGAAAAACCAAGTGATCTTTATAAATGATGATGTCTACCACTTGATCTGAAATTGTTTACATTGCTAATATGTGAATCTCTCCTGAATATTTCATATGAAAATATTCAATGCAGTCTACTACATGCAAAACAATTTAGGTGTCTGGAATTTTTTATAGAGATCAAAGAAAGAACTATTTCAGGGATCACTACAAAAGAGAACAACTTTATGCACAAAAATAGAGTCTGATTAAAAGTAAGGTAACGAGATTTCAGAGAAGTGCATTTTCAAAGAATACTACCATTTATAGGATGTGTTATAATATGGAAATCTCTTACAGATTAGAATACTTGTAGATTTTTTGGCACTGAAAATGAGACCCCCAAGTCACTGGATCAAGAACAATACTGAATTATTGAAGTGGTGCATTACACTCAGGTTCATGCTTTATTTTGGATGTGAGATATGTAAGCTAACATAAATGACAAGTATATATAGCAAATGTTTCTCATTAGTTGTGCTAAACTCATTTTGTTGAATCCATTTTTATTTATTTTTTGGAAACACAGCTAATTACACAGAAAGATAATAATTGGTATTTTTTTGGATATTCCAACTATTAGAAAATTGCATCTTTTAACTCTTTAAAAAATTATATTTAAAATATATGCTATATATTTTTATACCTACTCTTTGTAACAGGTCATTAATTACATCTTCTAGAATAATGATGTTCCCTAGTTTACCTGTTTTTAACTCTGAGCAATAAGACAGTGTGCTATTCATTTTTCAAGGGATGGTAAGACAATTACGCATGAAGTTGATCTATAAGAGTAAGTTAATCACTAAATAGATAATTTTGGGGGAACATTCTAATACAATTTGTAATACACTTAACCGTTGACAGGCCCTATAAGGTGTACTACACAGAGGTTTAAAATAGCTCTTTACAAATGCTTCTTTAATGTAGCTCAGGGACAAGAAAGATGGACATAACAAATTAAAGGACAAAAGTAGAATGTAAAATGAACCCCTTGGAGATGATGATTAAGCCAGGAGCCAACGTGACCAAGAAGAGTTAGAATTAAGGAGAATCTTAGAGTTTATTTTTATTTTGAGCAACTCTCTTTCTTTTTTTTTTTTTTCCTTTTCTCAGATTTAATCTCCTATCTTACACATAGGGAGACCAAACTCCAATCTATTTGTGTGACATGCAAAGTCAAAAGCTTAGCTAGGAGAGATATGCTGCACAATGGACCAGCCCTCAGTGGCCAGCCTCTGGAATTACACACCAGTGGCCCCTTTGCGCCTTGTGTACCCTTACATCTTACCAGATGAGATGCAGTAACCAAATCACTGACAACATGGGGACTTATACGCTATGGTCTTGGATTAGGGAAAACTAATGTGCTTATAAGATTTCTCCTTAAAAAACCACCAGATCATAAATACAAAATTAAATCCAGGGTCCTGAAAGTGTCTTATTTGAGTTAAAGTCTTACAAATTGTTTCATTAGTTCAGTGGAATACCAATACCTTTCTCTTTTTTTGTAAATTTACCTTAATTTAATTCTCACTGTTCTAATCAACCTGACTCTCTTGATTCTCTGACCTATTCATAATATTTGCTGAGAAAACTTTCACATTGTTCTGCGTAAAAGTACACTCTGATCGTTAAGAACCAGGCATTCCTCCTGCCTGAAGAGCCATTTTAAAGAAGGCATATAATTATTTCATGGACATAAAATGATTTCTATTAAAGAAACATTTCTATTAATGTATATAAAACTAAAATGTATAAAGATGCTTAATTTTTCCCCAAATGATGTATAAATGTAATGCAATCAAGGTAATGAAAAATTTTAAATGTCAATTAAGCAAATAACAATGATGAGACAAATAGACCCTAGAATCCAAACCAGTTTGTTAATATCACTTAGCAAATAGAACAGTTTAGTTATGTTTTAAATCAGTAATAGAATGGATGCATTATTTGATAAAAAGCATTGCTACAACTGTCCATCAGTTTTGGGGAAAAATTTGTATGTGAAATTCAGTTTCAATTGGTTTAAGATTTAAATGTGAAAATGGATCTATTAAATTATTATAAATTTAAAAGTTAATATTTTTACTACCATGCAGTCAAAGAGAATTTTCAGTAAGAATATAAAATTTTAGTGATTAATAGAAATGGGTCCTTCTGATGCCAAAATTCAGTCTACTTGGAGACATTCTCCTTGTTTTTTCCTCTTTCTTACCTTTTACCTATTTGTCAAGTTTCAGAGTCTACTGAATGATTATGTAAATAAAGAAATGAAACAATATTTGGAGTTAGAGGAATTGAGCTATTGCAAATCATATTTTTATTACAAAGAACTTCAAATGATATTTTATTTCCAGCTCCTGTATTTAATTCAGAGTGATTACAGTTAGAGGACCCAGAATTTCAGAGCTGAAATGGACCTGGATGTCTCACAGTATAACCTGATCATTTTATAGATTTAGAAGTTGGGAGTTCAGGAATGTGGTGATTTGCCTCATATCCCACAGCAGAGGCCAATGAGCTAAGACTAGGAGTTCTCTCTTAAGCCTCATTTCTGGGATTCTTGTATTAGGTTAAACTTAAACTGCATGAACTGTGGTGTTGGAGAAGACTCTTGAGAGTCCCTTGGACTACAAGGAGATCCAACCAGTCCATCCTGAAGGAGATCAGTCCTGGGTGTTCATTGGAAGGACTGATGCTGAGGCTGAAACTCCAAGACTCTGGCCACCTCATGCGAAAAGTTAACTCATTGGAAGAGACCCTGATGCTTGGAGGGATTGGGGGCAGGAGGAGAAGGGGACGACAGAGGATGAGATGGCTGGATGGCATCACTGACTCGATGGCATCACTGACTCGATGGGCATGAGTTTGAGTAAACTCCGGGAGTTTATGATGGACAGGGAGGCCTGGCGTGCTGCGATTCATGGGATCGCAAAGAGTCGGACACAACTGAGCAACTGAACTGAACTGAACTGAAACTGCATGTGAGTCAAACTAATATCATAGCAAAATGGTTTTCAGTTATATTTTTTAATCTTTCCAGAGATCATTTTTTCAACCTCTTTCTTGCTAGAATTTAAATACATATCCACCTTAAACCCTCCATGCTAGAAATAAAATTTTAAAAATTACCATCAGGGCTATTGGTGTCTCACAAAAAATCTCACCAATACACTGCAAGTCAGAGATCAATTTAATGAAGAGAACGCAGTTTAAATTCAGACCTTTCATTTTCAAGCCATTTCCAAATTATTTCCTTCAAACTAGCCAATATAAGTTAGAATTTATAACTTGGAAAGACAGAAAAGAATAGGTAATCCTCTTAACTTCCATATGAGGATGACTAGTACTCACAGATAGTGGAAATTAAAGACAGTTTTTGCCCAGTAAGTGAATCTTCTTTCATTTTATGCTCTTTCTTACATGTCTTCAATAAGCAAAATTTGGGCTTTAAAAAATTGATCTGGCACCACTTCACATAAAAAAGTTCAGGAAGAAAAATTCAACTGTCAGTTATAAGTAGGCATTTCAAGCATTCACACCATGCTCTAAGGAACAGTGAGTCATATGAGATTCAATGTGCAAAGGAAGTTGACACATAAAAGGATAGAACAACAATGATGAGTTCCCAAAGACATGCTGTAGGACAAAGAATAATTATAGAGGCTCTATTTTTGGTCCAACAAAATGACTTGGGAATTTAAAGTTAGAATAAGGAATTAATTCAGTCAGCTTTGACTTTAAGATAAAATAATTCACTAGCCTTTATTTTTCATTAATGCTATTATAGTTTATTAGGATGATGCATTACTGAATTGTTAAATACTTAACAGTCTAAAAATAAGTGAGGACAGGAAAGCTACTTTAATTTTGTCAGGAAGGAGGATGTGAGGTATAATAATAATCACATAATTAATATTTTATCTGATATGGAACTACAGTACTAAATATAAATAAGAAGAGATATCTGTCTTCAACAGTAATCTTTTTGGAAGCACCAATGCCCCTGAAACTTGAAATTAATGCCTACGATTGAAGTTGAAACTGCTTTGCCAGGGAGTTCTAAAAATAGTAGCTAGAGAAACTTAAATCTTTAATTCAGCTAACCACCATTTTCCTGTTCCCTTATTTATAAATTATATCCTTTTACATTCCAATTATGGGAGAGGTTTATAGCCATTTGCAAGAATATAACAATGACTATATGAATCAGAAAACAAAGAACTTTACAGAGGAAAGGAATTTAGTTCAAAAGAGCAACCTAGTCCTATTACATTATACATGAAACATAATTTGTTATATATATATGCTGCTGCTGCTGCTAAGTCGCTTCAATCATGTCTGACTCCGTGCGACACCATGGACTGCCGCCCACCAGGCTCCTCCGTCCATGGGATTTTCCAGGCAAGAGTACTGGAATGGGTTGCCATTGCCGTCTCCTATTATATATATATATTTATAGTTAAAACAAGATTAACCATAGACATTATATATTTGTGTATGTGTTTTTGTGTGGTGTTTGTGGCTAATACTACCAAATTAAGGATATTAATAAATCTTATAAGAGCTATTTGTATTAATTTAACATTCCTAGTCCTCTGGCCAAGGGGACAAAAAACATGTGGGATAAGTTCATACCCAAAGGTCCCAAGGAAATGACTTTGTAAGTCTGACAGATGTCCATAAGTCCATCTTTATCAGTAGTTTGCTAGATTGCCTTTCAACATTTTCCTGTATTCAGAAGTTATTTGGAGTTATATTATGTATCATTCTGTGAAATCTTTCTTATGATTGCTAACATACTAATATTGTCCTCAACTTCATTATAAATCTAACATGTTACTTTCATTAAGTCATGAATGTCCTTTTGTAATATATTCATATGAAATACCTGAAGGTGGGGCCATCCATAGTTTTGACTGGTGGTAGCACGAATGGTTGGTGTATCATCATAGGACCCTAGATGACAAGAGAACATTCTTGTAAATTCAGTAATAATATTAGTGGATAGTGGGATTTTACATAACAAAGCTATAAACTAGTGTGCTTTCTTAAAATTACAAACATCTATTTTAAATGTTTCATTTTAATGGGAAGTTGGAAGGTATTGTGTCAGATAATTTAGGTTGCCACCATTTTAACCTGAAAGGTGATCAAGAACTTTGTTTTTGGACCTCGTTTGTTAAGAATGAGGATTTTAAAGCACATATAGATGGAGGATGGTGCCCGTTGTTCAAGATCTTAGCATTAGGAAGAAATGGACGTCCTCAACCATTCAGGAGAAAAGTTGTTCCTGGAAGAAAGGGTGGCTTGGTCAATGATTCTGAAAAGGAATGACATGACTGGTTCAAAGCATATAAAGAAAGCCAACATGGTCAAACTGAAGTGAATGAGGGGGAAAGAGTGACACAGATCTTGTCAGAGGAAGCTAGAGGTTAGACTACATCAGTAATGAGATTTAGCACTCCTTAAATATAGGATATCACTAACAAGTGAGATTCATCCACTGCTAAACTAAGAGTTAACATAGATAAATGTAGTTTACAAGTCTCTTTTCAGACTCAAAATCATGTTTAAGGCAAGATATATCTTGATTTTCATTTACACAATACTATTTGAACTTCTTTAAAGTACTTCTTTAAGTACTTTAAAGTATTATTTGGGCTTCCCTTGTAGCTCAGTCAGTAAAAAATATGCCTGCAGTGCAGGGACCTGGGTTTGATCCCTGGGTCGGGAAGATTCCGTGGATAAGGAAATGGCAACCCACTGCAGTATCCTTGCCTGGAAAATCTCATGGACAGAAAAGACTGGTAGGCTGCAGTCCATGGGGTTGCACAGAGTTGGTCATGACTGGGCAACTAACACTTACTTGTTTGAACTTATAGTATTTTAAGATGTCAAATTTGCATTTGAAAATTTTTATCTCCAATAATTTATATTGAGAGGCTTTTAAAAAAAATAAACTTGTTCTTATGGATCATCAATTTGCTGCTACTTCCAACAGTAATTTCTGAATTATTATAAAAGCTTTTCATGAAGTCACTAGGGATCCTTGCATGAAAACCCAAAAGTATAAGAAGCTTATGTTAAAAGCAATCTCTGTAATAAAATCTTCTTTTATATAAATAAAAAAATTGAACTGGTTTGTAAACTTTTATACCCTCACATATTTTAATAATTTATAATATATTATAAATGGTCTAGCATATGTTGTCATTAGGATAGTGATCATATTAAAGAGATGTGTATTTTTACATAAACAGACACTCTGCATATAGTTAGAATCTGGATTTTCTGCTAGCTATTTTGGAAAAAATAACAAAAAGTCTTGTCAGTCTCAGACTTTACTGGCATTCATATGGAATTCACAAGGTTCAGAGTTGAAGTTTATTTTGAATACTTTCCCAACTTGCTAGAAAATGCCACTAGAAATAGATATGACCATTGAGTGTTTTTGTTTTTTTTTTTTTTCTGCATGGTTCTAGACATTTCATTTTTAATTCCAACTGAAAATCCTGTGAAAGAATATTTCCATCCTTTTGGTGATAAGCTTTAGTAGAAAACAAAAATGTCAACAATTACTTCTGACTACCAGTGAATACATTGATGAGATCATTTTTGTTAGTAAACATATTGCATATATTAATAAAATATAATGTATATGTCAACATGGTATTCCACTTTCCTCTGAAAATATCAGTATCTGCAGTACCAAAAAATATAAAGAAAATATTATAGAGCCTTAATTAAAATGATTAAGATACCTAGAGAAAATTGAAAAGAAAGTTAATCTTGTACAAGCAGCACCACTGACTGAAGTGTTTAGACAATGAAATCAAAATCAACTAAACCTTAGAAACACAGTAAATAGATGTATTACTTAAGAATGTTGGATAAACCTTCCTGATGTACTGTTGCCATGGTGAAGCACAACAGTGAAGTTAAAAGAACAAATACACAAACCTAAGTGTATTTGTTAAGAGGAATCAGAAACTTGAAGAAATGTATTAGTTAAATTCAGCCAATGGATACAAAGGCAGTCAAGTGGTTTCCAAAATGAGGAATTACATGAAGAGTCAAACTGCAGTGCCTTCTAGGATAACTTTATGTTTAGGTCATTTTACAGCAGTAGAAAGAGAGACATGACCTCTTTCAGAGACTTGTAAGCTCCATGAATGATTTAAAACAGTTGAAAGATTATTTTTAAAAAACCCACATAATACATGTCATGATATATTTGTTATAATTCATAGAATGCATAACACCAACAGTGAATCATACAGTATTTTTTAAATTATTTATTTCTGTTACTCTGCTTTCTGCCGTACATCATCATGAATCACTGGTAGGTATACAAATGTCCCTTCCTTTTCTAATCTCTCTCCCACCTCCTACCCCATCCCACCTCTCCAGGCTGCCGCAGAGCATAGGATTTTGAGTGGGTATGCTCTGTCAATATAGGTTAATTGATTCTAACAAACGTACAACTTTCATGGGGGATATGAGTAATAGAGGAGGGGGTAGGAAGAGGGTTATGTGGAAAATCTTTTACCTTCTACTCAGCTTTTATAGGAATCTAAAACAACTCTGAAAAATAAAGTCTTTCTTTAAAAAGCACACATACCTCTGAATGGAATTATTCTCTTTCCTCCTATTTTTAAAGAAAATATGTATTTGATGGGATTTTTGAATGAAAGGAAATGGAAATTTGGGGGTATGATTCTAGGCATTATCAATCTATGTTCTTGGTCATGATGAGAAATGCCACTCATTCATACCCAGCTTTAAAGCAATAAAACAACCTGTCCTTTCCCTGGACCCCCTAACTAAAAATGGTCCTTTCCTCAAAAACATGTAGGCAAAAAGTGGTTTTACCATAATTCTACATTCAGTCACTGCTACCCAATTAGAAACAAATGTTTTGG